ATCTATTTCATTAATATAATATCTATATATAATAACTCTTCAGTCTTCTTTTTCTTCAATTTCCATATAGTACTTCTTTATTTTTCTTTTAAAATTATCATTATCATTGGTCATCTTAATATAGTCTGGCAATTCGTTATATATTTTGGTAGCACTCCATATGACATTTTCTCTCAAATTCTTTTTTCTATTGCGTTCAATGTGAAAATTGTTGTGGTCTCGTGTAGTGTTCATGTATATCTTGATTTGTGTCTATTGTTGCACTTGTTTTAATTCGGTTAAATTTCATTTTGTGTATTAGTTTGCATTTCTCTATTTTAATTATGTTATTTAGTGAATGATTATTTGTTTCTCTCTGCAAGTATTTGGTGGGTGTTAGATGTGGTAAATTATATGCTATTTTTATGGCTTTATCATTATTCTCTGTATGTCATTTAGGTTTGCTTTAGTTGTTTGGCTCCATGTTGTTATGCCATATAAAATTATAGGTATTATTTGCGTTTTAAGAATTAGTATTTTATTTTTTTTTTGCCGAAAGAGTGGATCCTTTTCAATGCCCCTGTTAATGTTCCTATCTTTCTTTTTATTTTGTTTATGTGGTCTGTCCATGTCAGTTTTTCATTTATTATCAGTCCTAAGTATTTTATGCTTTCCACTTCCTCTATTGCTCTATTATTTACTTCAATTTTTAGTTTAGTGTTCTCAGTATTTTTTCTATGTTTGAAATATATGTATTTTGTTTTATCTATGTTAATTGTTAGTTTATTTTCAGTTAGCCACTCGGTGTATATTTTCATGTCCGTGTTTATAATATCTTCGAGTCTTTTTTATCCTTATCCGCATATACTATCGCTGTATCGTCTGCATATAATATGTATCTTCCCTTTAATTTTGCGTCTTTAAGGTTATTGGTGTATAATAGATACAATAAAGGTCCTAATACAGAACCTTGTGGAACTCCACAGGTTATGTTACATCCTCCACTTGTGAAATTCCCACCTTCGTCCTTACCACTCTTTTCATGAGGAAATCTTTGATAATGCTGTAAGACAAACCCTCTACACCCAAATCTATTAGTTTATTAAGTAATATGCCATGATCTACTGTATCGAAAGCTTTTTGTAAATCAATAAAAATTGCAACTGTGTGCATATTTTCCTCAAGGTGCTGACTGATGGTATTAGTCAAATCTATTAGGGCACCTTGTGTATTTGATGAAGGGAGGAAACCATATTGATTTTTGTCAATTTTTTGAATGAGAAAATCAAGTAATCTTTTTTTTATTACTTTTTCATATATCTTGGAGAATGTGTTTGTTATTGTTATAGGTCTGTAGTATTTGGATCTGTTTTGTTTCCTGTTTTGAAAATTGGTTTTATTGTAGCCATTTTAAGACACGATGGAAATACACCACATTCTATGTATCTATTCATTAAAACAGCAAGTAGTGGAGCTATTATATTTATTATTTTTTAGTGATTCTTGCTGTTATCTTGTCTTCGCCAGGTGCAGCGTTATTTTTCAGATTTTCAACAATTTTTTTTATTTCTTTCTCATCTGTTAATTCAAAAATTTGGATTTTGTTTTTAGGTCTGTGTATTGATGGTTTATAGTTGCAATGATCCATTTTCTTTGTAGTTTCATACCTATTTCAGCAAAATGTTTGTTGAGATACTCCGCAATGTCTTCCTTTTCTGTAAGAAATATATTTTATCTTTATGCTGTATTTTTCAATATTTTCTTTATATTCGTTTTTATTTTTTCCTCCTCCTAATGTTTTATTTATTAGTTCCCATATTTTTCGAGAGTCACTTCACATTTTTTTGTTTCTTCTGAATAGTATTGTCTTTTTGCTTTGTAGATCATATTTTTATATCTTTTTATATTATTATATTTCATTTTTATGGCATTATGTTTGCTTACTTCATTTATATTGCATTTCTTTAAATTATTGTAGAATTTGTTTCTGTATTTCATTAAGTTAATAATTTCTTCTGTTATCCAGGTATCTTCTCTGGCTCTTATTGTTTCTTTGATTTTATTTTCTTTTGCTGCATCTTGTATATTTTTATTAAATCCTCTAATTGGTCCACTATTTTAGAGTCTAACTTACAAGTTATTGTCTTTTCTAATCCTTCTAAATCTATGCTATATCTAATTATTTATGCATTTTTGGTTTGATTCTCGGCGTATTTTGTATAAATACTGTTATCATTTTGTGATCAGATATTTCTGTGTCTTCTATTTCTATATTAATCTTCTTTTATAATTTGATATAACATGGTCAATTATTGATTTAGTGTTTTGAGTCTTCCTTGTGGCGTATTGGCTATCTATATTATTTATTATTTTGTATCCTGATGATTCTATAATATCTTTGTAACAATTTGATATATTATTGTTTGGAATTATATCTAAATTCATATCACCTATTATTATTGTATTTTTACCGTTTTCTTTCATTTTTTTTTTATTAAATTTATCAGATCTTGTTTTATTATTCGGAGGGTTGTAAATAACAATAAACTTTATAACAGGGTTCATATTTGTTACTTCTATTTCCAGGAGATTTATATTATTTTTATTATTATTTTCTATGACAGTACAGTTTAGTTCATTTCTTACAAATATCGCTATTCCTCCTCCTCTTTTCTTTTCTCTGCAGTTGTAAAAACCTCTAAAATTTTTTAAATTAAAGTATCCTTCTTCTTCTTGGTATATCCAAGTTTCTGTTAATATTAAAATTTTGCAATTTTCATTTTTATGCATAATTATTTCTAAGTCATCTATTTTATTTCTTAAGCTTCTTATATGAAATACTTAATCTCTATTTTCTTGTTATTGCTATTATATTTATTCATTTTCTTGAATTTGTCCATTGTAATTCGTCGACATTCTTACCATTTTGGCTCTGTGTTGATAACATGAACATTCCGTTTCATTTGCATTATGCACCGTATTAAAATTTGATTTGTATTTTACATTGGCATTTGTGCAGTTTATGCATTTCTTAGATTTGCTCTTACAATCTCTTGTGTTATGCTCATCCGCACAGTTTGCACAGAACGTCTTGTTTTTGCATTCTACTGCCCTGTGTCCATATGCCTGACAGTTATAACATCTTTTTATGTTTAAATCTTCTATTATATGAGCTGTCCTCCATCCTAGATTTACATTATTTTCTAACAATTTTTCGTATGTTTTGCCCGATGTTTCGATATATGTAATCCAATTTTCTGTTTTTCGTGATTTCCTTTGGTATATTAGTTTAATTTGATCTGTGTTATTTATATTGTAATTATATTCTATCATTTCATTTATCAATTCTGTGCCGTCCATATATTGCCTTGGAGCATTTGTTATAACAAGTCGCGGATTTCTTTGTTTCTTTATATATATTTCGTATTCGCTTCCAATTTTTTGTATCATATGTTCTGCTAATGTTTTTGTTTCCTCAATTGTTGAGGCCTTAATTATTAACCCCCCGCTACTAATGTTGTTAATTGATCTTACTTTTGCTTTTACGTTTTTTGGATTTATGTTTTTCTCAATATAGTTTCTAGTTTCATAGCTGTTCTGTTTATTCTTTGGTTTTACAATTATTGGCGGCATATTTGGGTTTATTATGTCTTTATTTTATAAATTTTTATTATTAATTTTCTGTGGCATTATTTTTACATATGTAGCATAACTAGATCTTGCATCTTTAATTATTTTAATATCATTCTTTAAAGTTTTAAGCTCATTTACTATTTCTTTCAAATTACTTTCATGTGAATATCTTACCTCATTTTTTTTTGAGCATATGTCACAAAACCATTTTATATTGTTACTTGTGCTGATAACTTTATATTGTTCATTAGTAACTTTCGCACACTTTTTGTGGAACCAACCTTTGCATTCACCTTCACATCCAATAATGTTTTTTCCATTAACATCAATATTACATATACTGCAACATTTTGGATCTTCTACATCTTCCGCCATCTTATCGATCCGATATTTCGGTTTATATGTTATACAAATTAGCAATAAATTGCAAAAATCGTTTTAACGGTTTTTGACATGAAGTTTTTAATTCAAAAAAAACAAAAGCAAATATGACAATATAATCAAAATAAAAATGATAAAAATAAATGAGTGGATTATATAACAAAATATTAGAAATGTTAAAAAAGTAGAAGTTTTAAGAAAAGCTTACGGAAACCTGTATGATTGATTATACACTAACACTTTTTCACTAAGAAAGATTTTATAAAAAAAAGTGATTTTATAAATTTCTTTTCAGACGAAGAAACAAATTTTGGAATTTTTTCCGTAACCATTTCATAAAACTTGCTAATTTTTAACATTTCTAATATTTTGTTATGTAATCCACTCATTTATTTTTATCATTTACATTTTAATTATATTATCATATTTCTATACATTATTTTTTCTACAATTTTATATTAAAATAACATTTACTTTATTTTTATCAAATAAATTATTCTTATGTATTATATTAGATTAAACATTTCTACAAGTCTAACAATTAATAAAAGAAATTTGCAAAATATTCAAAACACATTTGTTTCATTTATTTTTATAAAAATATTATGGCTTTAAATTTTAAATTAAGTATTCACATTTTAAATTATGTAATAAATTTGAAAATTCGTTGAATTCTAGATAGTTTATAACTATTTCAAGTAGATTATAAATAGGTTCAAAATTGAATCTTATTAGATCCCAACCAGACCCTAAAGAGATTCTAACAAGATTTTTAGCAGATTTATACCAAATTTCCATTACATTCTTATCAAAATCATTTTTGGCGGAATTTTTATTAGATACTAGTTTCTCACAAAATTCTTAACACATTCTCATAAGGTTCATACCAGATTTCAATAGAACCCTTACTTATAAGTTTTTTTACCAGAATCTTACTAGATTTGTGTCGAATTCATATTAGATTCTAGCCAGGATGTTATTAAATTCGCATTAGATTTTTACCAGCTAGTTGGTTCCATTATATTTCCTTCAGATTTTCACCAGAAATTTATAAGATCCGTACTGGATTCTAAATCGATTCTGTAAATTTCTTGTTAAATTAGATTCTTGTCAGATTCTCATAAAAATTATATTAATATTGTCCATTCTTTATTTTTTCCTAGTAATAGTAATATTGTTCAATTAAGTAATATATATATATATATATATATATATATATATATAATTTTAATATTCTGTAATTTGAATATAATGAATTATCAATAATAATATTAATTATTCTGGTTATTTAATTATATATAAACCTTTTAATTACCAGAATCTGATTAGATTTTTAACACAACCATATCAGATTTTTAGAAGAATATAAATTCTTACCAGAAACTTCATTCTTACCAGAATTTTGATTTTTACCAGAATATTACACTTGCCCACCAAAATATGATTTCTTATTAGATTCTTATTTAATTCTTACTAGATTCAAATTCTTATTCTGATTAAGTGCTTCTCACCAAAATCTTATTGAATTCTTGCCAGAAATTTGTTAGATTCATACTCAATTCATACAATTCTCGTAGAATAAGTTATTGCAATGGGCTGAAAATAGAAAATGAAAATTTTTGCATATCTTTACGTTTCAGAGGTTTCTGAACATTTAGCATACCTAAAAAAAAATGAATGAGTGTGTGTGTGTGTATGTGTGGATACAAATTTTGTCGACGTTTTCGGGCGCACGATCAATCGACTTGATTGGTTCAAAAAGCATTCGATTCCTATTGATAAGGAGACGTGCTGATTAGTTTCAGGCAAAGGCAGGTCCAGCCGTTACAGAGATACGGAGCAAAGAGTGCAGAAAATTTAAATCAAATTTTTGAGAGAACGGAGTATATTTGAATGATCTAAAAAACATTCAGTTCATAATGATTGGGAGAAGTGTTTATTAGTTTTTCGCAAAGACAGGCCCAGCCATTTCAAAGATACAGAGCTAAATATGTAAAAATGGCAGTTTTTGAGAGAACTAAGCGTCCGATTTAAATGATTCAAAGAACTTTCTGCTTGTTTTAACAAAATAATTGATTTTGAAAAAAAAAATTGTTTCAAAATTTTTTTGTATATCGAAAATAATTCAGATTTTAATTTTAAATCTGACTAAAGTTCTAATATACTTTAAACAAATATTTTCAACTTTGCAATTCAGCTTATATAATTCTTATAAATATTAGACATGTTACAGTATTTATAACAATCTATATGAAAACATTTAATACTTTTCGAACATTTCGTTACGGTACGGGAAGTTCCAGCAATTTGCCCTAAAGCACGATGCCACCCACCCCACTAGATTTGATTTTTGGATGATTACAATAACTTACCCTACAGGAAGTTAATTATTACCTTCTAATACATTTCTGAACAAAACTCAAACATCAAACAGTACAATTTGCATTACAATGCATCCAATATATGTAAATCTGTAAATTTATTTATTCATTCTGTAAGCTATTAATGTTGTTTTTGTTCTGAATACAACTTGTATTAAGTTTATTAAATTCTAGGCCATCGATATTTAATTAATTCGATAGTTCAAAATACCAATTACAAATTCAAATATTTTGCAGACAAAATGAGGAATTACAAGTCTAACATCAGAAATTTGAAATTCAATATGTTGAATGCACTTTTGTAATAAATAAATGGTAATTATTCTTTTTAGCTACGTAGTTTAAGATATATATTACACAAAAATATAACAGACAATATTATAAACTATTTTAAAAGTGGTAAACAAAATAATATAATAAGTACAAAGCATTTTTTTAATATAACTATTTATCCAGACTTGTAAGTAATTCATATAATATATTTCTGCAATAATGTATCAAAACTAAAAAAATATTTTTATCATCTTGTTTATAAAATAAGTTGGTTTACACAAAAACTTTAGTTTTAGTAATTCACCCTCAGTGTATGTCTTAACACAAACATTAATTAAAATTTTCTTTATTAATTATTTTTTTTAAATTTTATTTAAAATTTATTACATTTTCCACTTTACACGTGTACCGGTACAAATTCGATTAAATAATAATGAACTTGTGTAAAAAACTGTTAGCATAATTATATTGTTGTAAAATTTTCCAAAATTTTTTGACAAACATCATTTGAATACAAAAACTTTTATTATTATCTTACTTTTTCAAAAACAATGAATGCGCTTTTTATGTAAAGTGGCGGGAAAATTTGAGACTGATTTAATTAAATGAATTAGAGCATTGTAGAACATTTTTAAATTAAAGTAATAATAAAAAATCACGAATTTATAATTTTTGTAAATAGAAATTATAAAATTAATTATGAAAGTTTGTAGGTAAAATTGTTTACAACAAAATTGCTAACAAATAAATGGGATAATACTAATATTTTGCAAAAGTTATCAATTATTCAAGTGATTTGTAAAAATTCTACAGGACGCACCGTTTGTACTACAACCTTGTAATTTAAATATGTCATAACTAAATATGTCTATTATAATAACAAATACTAAAATTGATAACTTTGTTCCAATGACAAAAAATATTTACGATTTTTTGAACAAAGTGCTTCAAATACTCCAAGCCACAAATGATGTACAAATTAATATGGGAAGAATTTTTGTATTTTGAAAAAATTCTACAAGCCGCACCATTTGTACTACAATCTTGTAATTTAAATATATTATAACTAAATATGTCTATTATTACAACAAATACTAAAATCGATGACTTTGTTCCAGTGACAAAAAATATTTAGGATTTTTTCAACAAAGTACTTCAAAGTTATCATTTGCACAAGATAAGACTAAGTTTTAATTTTTAATTTCAAAAAATTGTACAGGCCGCACCGTTTGTGCTACAACCTTGTAATTTAAATATTATATAACTAAATATGTCTATAATAACAACAAATACTAAAATTGATGACTTTGTTTTAGTGACAAAAAATATTTACGATTTTTTTAACAAAGTACTCCATATACCACAAGTGTTAAATTTGTACTATGTTTATATTCAAAAAATCTACAGGTCGCACTGTTTGTACTATAACCTTGTAATTAAATATATTATAACTAAATATGTATATTTTGACAACAAATACTAAAATCGATGACTTTGTTTCAGTGACAAAAAATATTTACGATTTTTTGAACAAAGTATTCCGTATATGATGTACTATGTTTTTATTCAAATAATTCTACAGGTCGCACCGTTTGTACTACAACCTTGTAATTTACATATATTATAACTAAATATGGGTATAATAACAACAAATACTAAAATTAATGACTTTGTTACAGAAACAAAATTACTTACGTTTTTTTAAACAAAGTACTCCAAATACCACGAGCCGCATATGATGTACTATGTTTTTATTCAAAAAATTCTACAGGGCGCACCGTTTGTACTACAACCTTGTAATTTAAATATATTATAACTAAATATGTCTATTATTACAACAAATATTAAAATCGATGACTTTGTTCCGGTGACAAAAAATATTTACGATTTTTTGCACAAAGTACTTCAAATTCTCCAAGACACAAATGATGTAAAATGTTTTTATTCAAAAAATTCTACAGGTCGCACCGTTTGTACTACAACCTTATAATTTAACTAAAACATACTTTATTAAGTCTATTTAAATACAAATACTAAAATCGATGGCATTCTGTTTGCATCAAAAGATATCGTCAATGAATTGAATAAAGTACATCAAAATTTTGTACAAACATGCGCTTTACCTTTACTTCATTTGTAGTTGTTCGCGCTGTCCATAGAGTGCGCCACTAACTGTAGCACGTAAATTTACCATCGGGTTTAAATTCTAGATAAGTTTTCTATAAGTATCTAATATACAAAAGATAAACCTGGTTAACTAGAATAAATCATTATTTTTTTTAGTTTTTTTTATTTCCCTAGGCCCGTTCCCCGGCCACCTCTGTTTCTCTTCCGATCAAAGTTGTTTTTGTAGTATGAGTCGATTTCGAAACGTTTGCATTTTTTTATAAATTCTACGGAAAAGATCACAATCAGTTTAAAGTTTAAAGTTATCGAAAGCAGTGACCCCGTCCTTCCTTAAAACACCAAAAATAAAAATGAATTTAACAATACCGGAATTTTATAAGGACAAAGTTGTATTTATAACCGGAGGAAGCGGTAAGTTGAAAGGATTTATAATAAATTAAATATTATATTATTCGAATATTTTTAATAAATCAAATTTCTAGTAATTGATGTACCGTATACATATATTTATATAGATTTGTAAAAAAAAAACTTTGGAGTACTTTGTCCCGAAAATCGCAAATATGTTTTGACACCAGAAAAATTGCAATGATTTTTACATTTGTTTTTTATAATGAATACATTTTCTAATAATATTTATAAAAATGAAAGATCTAGTACAGAGATACGTCTTCAAGTGCGAATTGAAAAGAACATCATCCCTAAAAATATATTTTATACTCGACAGAAAACTTGAAAATGAAACGCATCTACTTGCAAAACGTCGGAAACAAGTGCCTTAATTTGTGATAATTACAATAATTGTTCTAATCACATTTTTATATTTTTAGGATTTTTGGGCAAAGCTCTGATAGAAAAACTTTTGAGATGCTGTCCAGATCTAAAGACAATGTACCTTTTAGTAAGGGAAAGAAAAGGCATGAAGCCCCAGGAAAGGGTCAAACAAATCCTGAACAACGGGGTAAAAATCTTAATTTCTAATCCCAATAAAAATAAAAAATCCTTCTAATAAATTAGAATAAACTTTGTATTATTTTTTTCGTAGATTTTCGATGTAATAAGACAAAACAACCCAGAAGCCTTGAACAAAGTGGTTGCAGTTTCAGGAGACGTGAGCGCCCTACAATTAGGCTTAAACGAAGACGATAAAAAATTAATTTTGACCTCTAATATAGTATATCATGTTGCTGCAAGTGTCAGGTAAATAGAAAAAAAACTAGTGGTGTATGGCATCGTGCCTTAAGGCAAATTGCTGGAACTTCCCGTACCGTAATGAAATATTCGAGAAATTTTAAACGTTTTCAAATATATGATTACAAATACTGTAACTTTCATTATGTTTACTATCTTGTATGTTATATCCGAGCAAATCAAATGTAAATCATTTGAAATCAAATTTATCTCCAGAACATTAACAACAATCGTCATTTCATTTCGAATTCAATTTCAAAAAAAAAAAATAGTTGCCTAATTTACACAAAATTGAAAAAGTGCTCCCGTATAGTCACAGCCTAAACGCACTTGCAAATAATTCTGCGCGACGTTTTCACTTATACTGTGCTTAGCTTGGCGGCATTTTCACATTTTTCAATAGTTTTCACAACATTGAAAAAGTGCTTCAGTACGTAAACCACTTAGGTAAACATTTGTACCAGAGTGGCGCTTAGACTGTGCTTAGCCTGAGTAATTTTTAGAATTTTTAATCCAAAATCACAAAAAAAATTTGAAAAAAAAAATTAGGATCATTTTTTTTTCCAAAAGCAATTATTTTGTTGAAACAAGCAGAAAGTTCTTTGAATCAATTAAATCGGACGCTTAGTTCTCTCAAAAACTGCAATTTTTTGCACATTTAGCTCTGTATCTTCGAAACCGCTGGGCCTACCTTTGCCAAAAACTAATAACCACTTCTCAATAAACATTTGTACCAGAGTGGCGCTTAGGCTGTGCTTAGCCTGGGTAATTTTTTGAATTTTTAATCTATAATTACAAAAATATTATTGGAAAAAAAAATTAGAAACAATTTTTTTTTTTCCAAAAGCAATTGTTTTGCTGAAACAATTGCAGAAAGCAGAAAATTCTTTGAATCATTTAAATCGGACGCTTAGTTCTTTCAAAAACTGTCATTTTTTAACATTTAGCTCTATATCTCCGAAACCGCTGGGCCTACCTTTGCCAAAAACTAGTAACCATTTTTCCCCGTCATTACGAACTGAATGTTTTTTGTATCATGCAAATCGGATGATCCGTTATCTCAAAAACTCGATTTCTATTTTCTGCACTCCTTGCTCCATATCTCCGCAACGGCTAGACCTGCCTTTGCCAAAAACTAATCAGCACATCTCCTTATCAATAGGAATCGAATGTTTTTAATCTATTCAAATCGGTTTATCCGTGCGACCGAAAACGTGGACGAACAAATGCGGACATACAAAACACACACACACACACACATTCATTTAGTTTCTGAGGTATGCCCCTTAAAAATGTTCAGAAACCTTCAAAACGTCGAGAAATGCAAAAATTTTCATTTTCGATTTTCGGCCCACTACTATGACTACCCTACGGGAAGTTAATAAAAAAAAAAATAATTCATTTATCATTTACACAAGTTCTCCAACTTTTGTAATTTTCCCCAGATTCGACGACCACATGAAAAAGGCGACCCTGATGAACACTCGAGGAACCAGGGAAATCCTAGAACTGATGCTCCTGATGCCAAATCTGGTGGTAGGTGTTCACGTATCTACCACATATTGCAACACCGACAAACCAGTCATCGAGGAAAAAATGTACAGGGACCACGGAGATTGGAGGGAAGCCATCAGGGTTGCGGAAGAGTTCGAAGATGATTATCAAGTGTCGTGTTTAACAGAAAAGTATGATTAAAATTCTTTATAAATTTTTAAGTAAAATTTCTAAGGGACTAAATCTGTCCAAATGCAACGGTAAAAGTGTTACGCTCGAATCGAGTGTCAATGATTCATCATTCGCTCTCGATGATATCATTTCTATACGGGTCGATTGTGATTGGTCGTCGCGTCGCATGAGTATGATTGCTTTGATTGTATGCGTATGCGTAGTATGTCCCCGTGTATAGTGAAAATAATAAAACAAATGGAAAACCTGTGCCGTCTAAGAAACATAAGATCATTTAAACAATTTGTAAGACACATACTCAAGCTACTCAAAGAATGAAACTGTATCGCTAGCAAAATAGTCAAAAAAAATACAAGCATTAAGGGGCACAACTAGTGTAACCGTCTAAAAAAGGTGATTTTTGGAAATTTATATTAAAAAAAATTTTAGGTACATATTTATACATGTTTTAAGAGTACATAGTAAAATTTTTGAAGAAAAAGATTAAATGTTTTTTAGATTATCGTCGATCTCCAAAAGGCCCTTCACTGCTGCAGTGATTCCGGCCTTCTACGTGGATAAAATTAAAAAAAAAAATCTCGTTGAACTAGATAAAATTGTCTGTAAAATGAACTACGATGAAGAAAAAAAATTAAAAATTGACAAAATGACGACGTTTTTTTAAAAAAAGTCGAATTTTACCCAAAATTTTGGTCGTTTTTGGACTGCCAAAATTCGATTTTTGATCCGATCAAAAAATCGATAGTTTATTTTACGTATAACTATATATAGAACATGTAAAAAGAATTCGATAGTGATCGGATCATTTGTTGTTGAATAATCGCTGCAGCAAATTCGGAAAATGCTGTTTCGAGAAAAACGCGTTTAAAGATAAAATGATTCCTATACTATGTACTATATATAAACTCTTTAAATGACTGTGACTCAAAAACTATTTAAGATATCGATTTAAAATTTTGGTATGTTATTTTTAAAGGTATAAACTATAGAAGTATGGAAAAATTCAAAATTCGATTTTTTTTTAAATTTCACACTAGTTGTACCCCTTAATAAATATACGTTAATTTTAATTACATTTTAATTACATAATGTGCAAATAACGTATGTATTGGTTTTAGATGTCTTGGTGGTTTGAAGAATACTTATGTCTACACAAAACATTTGGCAGAAAACGTTGTGGAAGACTACAGTGATAGACTGCCTTTGGTTTTGTTCAGACCTGGTGTAGGTAAGAAAAATACTTTGATAAAAATATAAAACCTTTAGGGACCGATAACACACAAATGTTATGGCAAGGCCATGTTACATAATGAATCATACAGAGTACTGTCAAAATTTCATGAGTTTGCTGTGCATTCAGGCGTTTTACACATAAACTGCAACGTCACTCGTATGTTATGAGTCTGAGTCAAAAAGACCCTGTTAACTACCATCGTTTTTTCGACATTTGTGCGGTTTCTAAGTTAAGTTTTCTAACTGATAACCTGAGAAAAACGCCTGACTGCACAGCAACTACACGCCTTATGTCAATATTTAGTGTGGAAAGTTTTTCATAATAATCATTTGTCTGTTATGCGGCTGAATCGGTCTTAGTTAATATAAAATTATATAAGTGGCATTATGAAACTAGGTATAAAGTTAACTATTCGATAACTTTTCATATGACTAGAATATTGTAAGATTTTTAAGAAGCCAACAATATTATGTGCATTAAAATATTAAAATTAATTTTAATATTTATTTCTAGTTGTTTCGACTTGGAAGGAACCAATCGAAGGATGGAATGATAATTTAAATGGACCTATGGCTTTATATGTCGGAGTAGGAAAAGGTATGAGCTATATATAAAAAAAAACTAGTGGTCTATGGCATCGTGCCTTAAGGCAAATTACTAGAACTTCCCGCACCGTAACTAAATGTTCGAGGAATATTAAATGTTTTCAAATAGATTATTATAAATACTGTAACATTGTCTAATATTTATAAGAATTGTATAAACTGAATCACATAGTTGAAATTATTTATTTAAAGTATATAAGTGAGGTTTAGAACTTTGGCCAGAATGAAAATTGAAATCTGAATTATTTTTGATTAAAAAAATTGAAATATTTTTTTTCCAAAAGCAATTGTTTAGTCAACACAAGCAGAAAGTTTGAATCATTGAAATCGGATGCTTTTTTCTCTTAAAAACCGCCATTTTTTGTACATTGAGCTCCGAAATGACAAAACCTGCCTTTGCCAAAAACTAATCACAATTTTGCTCATCATTACAAATACAATGTTCTTTGAATCATTCAAATCGGATGCTCCGTACTCTCTAGTAAATATCCAGTCAGAATTTACTAACAATAAGGATCCATTCAGGATCTAATAAGAATCAAATACGACAGTGATTAGAATGTAATAAAAATGTAATGAGAAATTCATAAGAATCTAGTGGAAATCTAATTCCAGATCAAAATCTAGATCAATATCAAGAAGCAGGGTTACATTTCACTAGAATCTAGTAAGCACCCACATAGATTCATATTAAAGTCGTATTAGGTTTAATTTCGATTCTTATTAGTAAGAATCTAATTGGATTCTTGAGAGAATCTGCTAAGTATCCTGTATAAACTATATAAGAACTTCAATTTTCAATTTTCAAAATCAATTCAGGATTTTTTGGGAAAACTTGGACAAAAGCACTCAGGGAGCGTCCATTAATCACATGAGTTTTTTAGTTGAAGGGAGAGGGAAGTTGATAAAAAAAATCGATACGTCGTGAGGGAGGGAGGAGTCTAGTAAGATAACACATGCTTTTACTTTTCACCTAAAAAATAAAAAAATTCACGTATTCTTCGTAAATTCCAAAAATTTTACGTAGCTGAAAATACGCGTGATGTTTGGTGGGGGATGGGGGGCTAATTTTGAATATCACGACGTATCACCAAGGGTCCAAAATTCTCTAAAAAATAACTTGATTAATGAACCTCTCCTTTCTACGGATTCCAAAGAAACGGCTTGGCAGATCGTCGCGCAAACATAATCAAGGCTGTTTTACGAAATCGAGTCTTAACTTATATAATTTTATCAAACTTTGAAGAGTTTTAAGTATTATACCTGTAATATTTTTAGGAATCCTGAGGACTATATACAGTAAATGGGATTCGTATATGGACTACATGCCCGTGGACATGGTCACCAAAGCCTTGGTCATCAGTAGTTGGATAAAAGTAGCCAAACCGTAAGTAATAAAGGCAAGGCAATAGTAGTATATTACAACAAATAACATATATCGAACAAAGAACTATCTGACTACTTTTACTAGAATTCCCAGGCGGAATCATCATTGCAAAAATGTAATTTTTTTGCTGTTTTTCAAAAATTTATCACCAGATCCTTTTTACCCCACAGGCTGGGTAAAATGGGACAAGGGAGCAAGCAGGACTTGAAACTTATTTTTAATTTTGAAGGGATTTTACAAAATAATAGCTACATTATTCAACCACAATATAAATTTCATGGGTGCATTTTTTACACTGCCAACACTGTATATAACCTTGATCTGGTATTTAGTCAGAAAGAATCACCAGCAAAGTTAGAATAACTAATTATTCAAATCATCTCTGGTAAAATTGCATTTTTTATCTTAATTTACTTTTATATCCACTAGTTTTTATAGTTTACACCTTTGCCAAGATAAATGTTCAGTTGGTCCTTTTTACCCCACCCAGGTGTAAGCTTTTATACAAGTTATATAAAATAAACTGTTGAATCTAGCTTAAAATTAACAACAAATCTTATAAAACAATAAAATTACGTATACTTAAAAATTATATTGAAGTCTTGTAAACTAAACAACAGTGCTCACGACCAAAAAAACCAACACAAGAAAATACTTTTGTTATGGATTTTCAAACTTAGCCGTTTATCTCGTGATAGCGACATCGTAAGAATCCAAGTAATGGCTGGTGACACATCTTTTATCCTCTACTTTCAAATATTGTTCTTAAAAAAACCCTAACATTACTTGTTTTTAACCAAAAAAATCGAAAATGAATTTTTAGCATATCTTTATGTTTTAAAGGTTTCTCAACACTTTGGCATACCTTAGAAAACATGGAAGTGTGTGCGGATACAAATTTTCGTCGACGATTTCGTGAACTTTTTGCCCTCTACTTTAAAATAGTATTGATCAAACCTATCAGGCTTGACTTGTTTTTGAGATAATGATGGTAATTTTTTTTAAAAGTGACTGTATTTTTTATATAGTGTTCCGAACGAATTGCTACCAGTTTACAATTGTTCAGTTTCTGGAAAGGCAGACTATAACCAGGTGGACATGTGCAATGTAGGTTTTGATGTCTTTTCCAAAAGGCCCTTAAATGATTGTGTAATGCACCCTGTAGCTGATATTGTCTCCAACGAGTTCGAATTCAGGATAAAGGTAAAAACTAGTTGTAAGTGGCATTTTGCCTTAAGGCAAGTCGTACATTCCCCGATTGAGATTTATTAACTTCCCGTAGAGCAAGTTATAGTAATCGCAAAAAAAATCGAAAATGAAATTTTTTATATATCTTTACATTTTAAAGGTTTCTAAACATTTTGGAATACCTTAGAAAAAATGGATGTGTGTGTGTGTGTATGTGTGTGTTCGGATACAAACTTTCGTGGACGATTTCGGGAACTCGGATGAAGCGATTTAAATAATTCAAAGAACATGTGATTCGTATTGATAAGAAAACGTACTGATTAGTTTTTGGCAAAGGCAGGTCTAGCCGTTCCGAAGATACGGGGCAAAAAGTGTCAAAAATGGCAACTCGGTTTTTAAGAGAACGGAGCGTCCAATTTGAATAACTCAAAAAACATTTTACTTGTATTACAAAATGAAGAACTGATCAAATTTTCATGAAGGCAGGTCTTACGGTTTCGGAGATCTAGTAAAAAAAGTAAAAAAAAAATGCCATCTGGCGGTCAAAAATGATCATTAGACATATGCACATCAAATTATCAGATATTATATAGAGTTTTTAACAATAAGTATAAATTTACATTCCTATGGGTTCCGTACCAATCCTCATCCGTTAGACGGCGACGCGGCGCTTACGCGATTCGATATTTTGTCTATATGCAGTTAAAGCAGTACGATTGCTTTGACAAAAAGTTCAGAATTTCTTAAATATTTCAAAATAAATTTTTCTTCAAAAAGTCTTTTTTTTCAAAAAAAGTAAGTTTTTGTCAAAAATTTATAGTTTCTCAAAAATCTAATTTTTTCAGAGTAAATTTTTATCAAAAATGTTAATTTTTTTAAAAAAAAAAAATAACTTTTGGTACGAGAAGTTCCAGCAATTTGCCTTTAGTTTAGTTTTATTAGTTACGGTTTATCAATAAATAAATAAACAAATCAATAAATATAAATTGTAAATGACTATACGAACAAAATTAACGAATAAATTAAAATTTATTTTATTTATATTTAATATATAACATTTTTCATAAATTTTAGTCAGGGGGTAAATATTTTTTAGTTCTCGAGTCAATCTTTCACTCCAACATTCCTAGAGAATTATTCTAAGCTGAATTTAAATTTTAATTTTAGTTATTAGAAAAAAAAATCTAAAATTTTGCACACTTAAAACGCATTACATTACGTTCAAGGTGCTTGAAAGAACGTCAGTGAATTTTGAAAATGTTCAATATTTAAACGAAAGCCAAAATTGTATCCAAACATACATACATTCTACACACACATTCAATTTTTGTATGCAAAAACTAACAGAAGATCTGAAAATGTTTATACAAAAATATTCATCTGCAATTAAAAAAAAAAAAATAATAATAAATAATTATTATTTTTTTATTTCAGTTTATATTATTCAATTTCCTGCCCGCCTTCTTTTTGGACACCTTGTTGAAGTTAACAGGAAGGAAACCGATGTAAGAAATAACACGAATAATTAATGAATATAAGATAATATAATATTTTATCTAATTATTTTTCAACAGATTGTTAAGAGTGATGAGAAAAGTCTACATGGCATTGATGGCTGTTGCTTATTTCTCGATTGAAAAATGGGTCTTCAAAGCTGACAGAATGTGGGCCCTGAATGAAAAATTACATGAATCAGACAAGTGAGTAAAATTTTTGAAAATTTAAAAACATATATAAATATAATTTTCAATGCTATCCATATTTTTTTCAATATACTCAATAATGATGGAAGACTCAACAAAATAACTTCGTTGAAAAATTTCAATCCCAAAAGGCCATTCATTAAACAATTAGTAATAATCATAAATTCCTGTTACAGTTTTTCCAAATGTATCTGCCAATTATTACAAAAATATTACAGAGCAGGAGGGTAGAATCTGCCCTTAATTACATATCATTTTATGTTACATTATAGTTTAATTTCAAATTTAAACTTATTTTTCAGAAAATACTTTTCGTACAACTTCGATGACTTTGACATGGAAGATTATGTCATGAAGGCTTTGATAGGTCTTAATAAATATGTTATGAAAGAACCCGAAGACATACCGAAGGCCATTAAACAATATAGAAGGTAATAAAAATTATATATATATATATATATATATAAATATTAATTTTAATATTATTCTTTTCAGAAATGAATTGGTGTACCACGTATGTTCCTACATAGTTTATGGAATTTTAATATATTTCATAGCAACAAATAGGTGAGTATCTTTTAAATAAATAATTATTGTAAAACTTTTATACGTTTATCTCGATTGATAGATTGATTATATTTTATTTAATTTATTTAAATAATTAGTATATTCGTTTCATTTTCAGTTACGTAAGTTCTGCCTTCAAAACAGTTTTGAGTACCATTTCTACAACTGTTAAATAGATACTAAGGCTGTGATTAATTATTAATTATCATTAATTATATATTATATTAAATATGTTCATGATTAATAATTTATTTATTAAAATATATTTATATTTAGTATTTATATATCAATTGCATTTTATATTTAGTGATGTAGATATTTAATTTACCTAAGTTTTAGATTATGAATTTAATGTTCATTATAAGTTGTATTATATTATAATAAAAAAATGATATTTATTATTGCTAATATTTAAGTATTTTATTTATTTAGTATATGAAACTATTTTCGATATTCAAAAAAAATATAGAAAATTAAAAAGAAAAATAATTTTGAAATATTTTTTTTCTCAAAAGCAAGCGTTTTGTCCACACAATTTGAATCATTTCAATCGGATGCTTAGTTCTCGCAAAAACAGTCATTTTTTCTACATTTAGCTCTGTATCTCCGAAACCTGAGTTTGCCAAAAACTAATCACCACTTCTCCCAATCAATATAAATCGAATGTTTTTTTAATCATTCAAAACGGATCCTCCGTTCTCTCAAAAACTCGATACATATTTTCTGCACTCTTTGCTTCGTATCTCCGTAACAGCTGGATCTGCCTTTGCCAAAAACTAATCAGCACATCTCCCTATCAATAGGATTGGAATGTTTTTTGAATCATTAAAATCGGTTGATCCGAGCGTCCGAAATCGTCGACTAAAACTTGTATTCACACATACACACATAAATCCATTTTTTTAAAGTATGCCAAATTGTTCAGAAACTATTGAAACGTGAAGATATGCAAAAAAATTAATTTCGATTTTTTGGACGATTGCAATAAATTTCCTTATAATTGAAAGTTGATAATTAAAATCAGATCGTTTGGAATTTAGTCATCAATTACAATTAATAATTCCTTTACTTTTTCAAAAAAAAAGGTTTTTATTTTTTAAAATTCTTTTTGATCTATTTTATTAATTATAAGAACAACTTTTTGTTAACAAATTTGGTTAGATTTTTTTATTTTTTAAAAATCTAATTTGTAAATAATATTTTGTTTTAGTTTTTAATTTAAACAATATTTTCTAAAGTTTAATTTTTTGTTTTAAATTTAAAAAAAACTATCAAATATAAAACTACGCACTCAGTTTATAAAACGTTTTGCTATGATTGCAATTGATGTTATATTGGTAAAAGCTTTCAATATATTTAAAAAAAAAATGAACAAACATTTTTATAATTTAAAAAATCCAGCACTCTTTAAATTAAATGACTAACTTGGAACTTTTAATATAAATCCTAGCATCTAATAATTCTATCATTCTAAAAAAAAACTAAAAAGAATTTAGAAGACTTGCTGAATCTTGTTTTATTAAACTAAATTATTTAAGAGTATTTAAGTATAGCTCTTCTAATATAATTTTCATAAATAATCAAAATTTAAATAACATAGAATCTGACTGTCAATTTTTATGCCAAAAAGGCTGTAATTGTCATACAAGGTATTTTCAAGAATTTTACCGACACACATCTAGTGCCGAAACGTATAAATACATAAAGAATAATGCATTGCCTATTTTGATAAAATATAATGTGTATAATAGCAGTTTATATTCAAAAAATTATATTGAACAAAATATACAAATACTAAATATCTAAAATAACGTAATTAATTTCATGTTGTGCCTTAATATTCTTCAGTAAAATTGTGTTGATATATTATATTATTATTGTATATTAAAACGTGTTGAAAAAAGTATTTATCAAAAATTTTCAATCATCTAATTGTGTTGCCACATCACTCCCCATACAGGAATTTAGATGAATTTTCATAAATTAGCTGAATGAAGACATACATCGAGTGTCGAAACGTAAAAATAAATTAAAAAAAATCTAATTAATGAGCTTTAAATTAATACAAATATGTATATATATATATATATATATATATATTAGGGTGGTCCTTAATATGGACATTTTCGAATTTCCTTGCACCCGAGGGCTCAAATGGTTCCAAATTGATAAAAAACAATTCTCTGAAAGTTTCAGCTCTTAATATTTTCTCTTTTAGATAGAGCGCAATTCAGTCAAAGTTTTGTATGGAAATAGCATGGAAAAATATTCAAAAATTTTAAAAATGTTTTTTAGATGTAATTTAGCGAACAAATAAATGAATAAAACTCATTCATTTGTCGCTAAATTATACCTAAAACATTTTTTTTTAATTTTCAAATTTTTTTCCATGCTCTTTCCATACGAAGTTTGATTGAATTGCGCTCTATCTAAACGTTAATATTAAGAGCTAAAACTTTCAGAGAATTGTTTTTTATCAATTTGGAATCATTTGAGCCCCTGGGAGCAAGGAAATTCGAAAATGACCATTTTAAGGACCACCACCCTAATATATATATATATATATATATATATATATATATATATCCCGTTCTATTTTCTCCTCAAACAATGTATCTTTCGACGAGTGCATTACCCTCGCGTCGTGTCCTGACCTTCTGACCCCGACGGATTGTCTGTCTGTTCGTTTTCGAATAACGTTTTTTTCGTGAATTTACTTTAAATTATTTATAAGTTCTAATAGTTTTAAACAAAATGTCATCGGGTATGAGTAGACGTCTCAGTCGGAAATATATTTTCCAACAATACGTTTGTCATTGTAATAATAAATAATAATAATAATAATGGTTTTGCCGCCGAGCATCCGGAGTTTTTTAAGGACAAGAAGATTTTTATAACTGGTGGCAGCGGTGAGATAATAGATATTATATATATATATATATATATATATATATATATATATATATATACATATACAATGCTAATTTTATGCTTTCTAGACGTTTCAAGTTATTCTGAATCGAATGAGACTAAATATAACAAAAGTACTCTTTGTGAACCGATTTAACAAATTTAAAAAGCATTCGGTTAAACTCAATAAGGAGCTTCCTCGATTAGATTTGAGAAAAGTGCAAAAAAAGTGTCCAAAGTTTTGCAATAAATCCTGAACCAACTTTAACATTTTTAAAAATTCATTTGATAAATTTGGTATTTGTGCTGATTGAATTTTTTTACAATTATTTTACGATTTTAACTTGAATCTACTTAAAATCTAAGTATATTCTAAATAGATGCTAACTAGATTCTAACCAGGATCTAACTTAAATTTTTACTAGATTTCTCAGAACATAACTAGACTCTTATAAGGCTTCTAGTGGAATCCCATTACATTTTTACCACAATTATTTTAGATTCGGACTGGTTTATTATAAACCAGATTTTATAAATTTTTTATTTGATTCTTATAAAGTTTCGACCAGATTCTTAGTAGACATTCACTAAAATCTGCTTAGATTTTATAATCGTATTAGATTTTCCTACAATTCCTACCGAAAAAATATTGAATTAATATTAGATTCCCTTCTTACATGTGCACTATTTTTTCATAAGATTTTTAGCAATAAAATCTAAAGTTCGTGCGACTTTTTTAAAATTCCTATTACATTCTTATGAGTTTTTGCCAGAATCTGGTTGGTTTTTACCAGAGTTTTATTAGATATTTATGACATTTAAAATTATATAACATATCAAGAATTAATTATATTATAAATATTATATTATAAAGATATAAAAACTGATTGTGTATGGCATCGTGCTTTACGGCAAATTGCTGGAACTTCCCGTACAGTAATGAAATATTCGAGGAATATTAAATGTTTTCAATCAGATTATTATAAATAACTACTGTAACATTGTCAAATATTTATAAAAATTACAGAAACTGAATTACAAAATAAAATTATTTATTTATTTCAGAATTAAAATTAAAACCTATATAAATGATTTTCTATATACAAAAAAAATTAATATTGAATTTTTTTTTCGAAAGCAATTGTTTTGTCAACACAAGCAGAAAGATTTTTGAATCATTCAAATCGGATGCTTAGTTCTCTCAAAAACTGTCAATTTTACACATTTAGCTCCGTATCTCCGAAACGGCTAAACCTGCCTTTGCCAAAAACTAATCACCACTTTTCCCCAATGAATGTTTTTTGAATCATTCAAATCGGGTGCTCCGTTCTCTCAAAAACTCGATTTCTATTTTCTGCACTCTTTGCTCCGTATTTCCGTAACGACTGGACCTGCCTTTGCCAAAAACTAATCAGCACGTCTCCTTATCAATACGAATCGAATGCTTTTAGACTTATTCAAATCGGTTGATCGGTGTTCCCGACACACACGCACATACAGATTCATTTTTTCTTAAGTATACAAAAATGTTCAGAAACCACTGAAACGTGAAAATATGCAAAAACTTGCATTTTTGATTTTTGGTCCATTACTATAACTTACCCTACAGGAAGTTAATAATAATTTCATGCACAACTCAGTACAAAAATCAGTATAAATATCTTCATAAATACCTTTTGATCTCATATATGTCCTAAATTTTCACCTATCCATTTTACTACCATTTTTTTTATTTTCCTGCTCCCAATTTCTGAAGACTTTCAGCCAAATTTTCAATCCTGAACCTAAAAATCAGGTACATATTATTATTATTATTATTATTATTTCATTTTCAGGTTTTATAGGAAAAGCAATCGTGGAAATTCTTTTACGATTATGCGATGTCCAAATTATTTACCTTTTGCTGCGTTCAAAAAAGGGCGTTGCCATACAAGACAGACTCAACGGAATTTTGGACAATCCGGTAAATATATACATATGAATGTATGTATTATACCTAGCTAATTATTGCAAATTTTTATTATATTTATTTCAAGTTGTTCGATATCGTGAAAAAAACCAAACCAGAATCTTTGAAAAAAGTGGTGGCAGTACCTGGTGACGTAACAAGTCTCCAACTCGGTTTGAGCGATGAGGATAAAAAATTGGTGTTGGCGTCCAATATTGTTTTTCATGTTGCTGCAAGCGTCAGGTAAATATAAAAAAAATTAATCCAAAAACAATTTATCATTTTGACGAGTTCTCCAACTTTTGTAATTTTCTCCAGATTCGACGACCACATAAAAAAGGCGACCCTGATGAACACTCGAGGAACCAGAGAAATCCTAGAACTGATGCTCCTGATGCCAAATCTGGTGGTTGGTGTTCACGTATCTACCACATATTGCAACACCGATAAAACAGTCATCGAGGAAAAAATGTACAGAGACCACGGAGATTGGAGGGAAGCCATCAGGGTTGCAGAAGAGTTCGAAGATGATTATAACTTGGCTTGTTTGACTGAAAAGTATGAAATAATTACAAATTATTTAATGCAATATTTTTACCAAATGATTTTTTACCTGCAGGTGTCTGGGAGGTCTCAGAAATACCTATGTGTACTCCAAACATTTGGCAGAAAATGCTGTAGAAGACTACAGTCACAAGTTACCATTAGTACTATTCAGACCAGGAGTAGGTAAGTACTAGGGTTTATACAAAAACCGACATTTCAGAAAACCGGTTTTCGAATTTTAATTTTGCTAAAAAACCGGTTTTCGAATTTTATACAGAAAATAAATTTTCACTCGAATATTCTGTAATTTATCCGCAAATTTAGTGTGATTTAGAGCAGTATTTGACTGAATTTATTTATTGTTCAATTTTATAGATAGTAAACAAAATTATTTTAATTTTAATTGGTAGAACTAAAAAATAATAGTTTATCTTGATTAAATAACTTTGAAAATAATTATTCGTTATTCATGCATCATTTTCACATATAAGAATGAAAATATTTTTATGATAGTGAAAGGAAAGTTTTCGAATAAATAAAAATAATACATTTTTAAATAAAAAACATAAAATTAAAAAAAGATAAAAAAATATTAGATACGTGTTGATACATACTTGTTAATATCAATTTTAGTTTTAAAAACAATTAAGCTAAACTCGGGTATTGTCTGTTTCGAGCAATATTAATTAATTAATTTAAACATTCTAATTCTTTTTTGTTTAATCAACTATGATTTAAAAAAACTGAGAACGTCTATCAAATTGCTACTTAGACGTGTCCTTTGTTTACTCACAAAATTTTCTGAAATAGTAAGTACTCTCATACTTGCGACTAAATTATGCTTAATTGTTTTTAAAGCCTTATATAATAATTCTAAGTTTTTTTTTTCCTTTAATTTGTGGCTTTTAGGGTATGAAACTCTTTTTTTTAAGTTTAAGTAGAGGAAGTTACTTCTTCAAGAAGAAGTCACACTGATTTAAATTAATATATACACTGGTATAAAAATCTAAATTAATATATACAAAACCTTTCTGGGAACCATTGCAGACTGATAAGATATTAAAGGTTATTGAACCGACATGATTTCAAGAATCAAAACGCTTTCATCTATCTTTTATATTTGGCTTTATTTGTCATTTTCTATTTATACAGTGAAAACCGGCTTTTTCACTAAAAAAACGGTTTTCGAATTCCATAATTTTCGCCAAAAAACCGGTTTTTAAAACCGGTTTTTGAAAACCGACAAACCCTAGTAAGTACATAAATATTTTTTCACTTATCAATTTTTAACATAAATCTATTTCCCAAGTGATTTCTACATGGAAAGATCCAATTCCTGGTTGGCACGATAATTTCTATGGTCCGATTGGATTCGGAATTGCAGTTGGCAAAGGTAGGAGATTAATAGAAAAGTTTATATTTCTTCAGGAATTTAATCATTTATTATTACGTAATAGGGATTATGAGGACTACATACACCGGTACGACTCTTTTGCAAGACTATATGCCTTTGGATATTGTCGTGAAGGCTTTGATTATCGCTACTTGGCAAAAAATAGTAGATCAGTAAGTTAATAAATATTTTTAACAATTAACAATTATTTTTGCTATCTTGTTATATCTGAGCAAATCAAATGTTACCGTATGTTATACCGTATTTGTAATGATATATTTGAAAACCTATTGAAAGTTTCTCGAATATTTCATTACGGTACGAGAAGTTCAGCAATATGCCTTAAGACACAATGTCATACACCACTAGTTATGAGATTTGTATTAGCTTCTTGCCAAAACCGTATTATTTCTGACTAAATTCTTATTAGATCCGCATAAGTTTCCTATAAGATTCTTACTAAATCCTCGCTTATAAAATTTTCGTTTTAGATTCTTATAAAATTCGTTTTAGATTTTAACTAGATCATCACCAGATTTTTTTTCAGAATTTTTTTGGTACAGAAAGAACTGATCAATTTCTGATTAGTTTTTTTACGATTAAATCTACGTAGATTCTTAAGTAGGTTCAAAATTTAAAATAAAATCTTAGATTCTAAATAAGGTTATAATTATAATGAGATTCCCATTAGATTAATTTTCACCAGAACCATATTAAATTCTGACTGAATTCTTAATAGATCTGCACGAGTTTTCTATAAGATTCTTACCAATTCCGCATTAACATTTTTACTAGAATCTTAAGGGATTTCACCAGAATCTTTTATTCTAATCTGACTGGTTTCTTATTTATTTTTTACCAGATTCTTATCAGAATCCTTTGGAAAGAACTGATCTATTCTAAATATTCTAAATTGAATCTGACTAGATTTTAAGTAAATGCTAACTAGATTCTGAACAGAATATACATTGAATCTAGCTAAACTATTATGTGATTGAATTGAATTGAATAGTTGAATCAACCAGATTATTATAAAATTTCTAGTAGATTCTCTATTAAATACTGACTGAATTCTTATGCCAGCTCCTTATACGACTTATACAAAATCTTAGATAAGATTCACACTAAATTTTTAATGGATTCTCTGATTCTGAAGCACTAATCCTATTAGACCACAATCTTGCCTTGAACTTGAATTTTTAGATTCTCATAACTGCATCAACTATTAGTCTGTACTAGTTCCACATAAAATTCATACCAAATTTTCTCAAGGTTCATACTATTTTCTCGTGAAATTTCTACCAGATTCTTAGTGAATTCTTACCAAAATCTAATTAGGTTCGTACCAGATTCAAACTGAATTCTTGCTAGATTTTGATTTAATTCCCAAGAAACCAATGACAAATAATAATTAAAAAAAATCTTGGTCAACAAATCGTTGGTCTGGATAGAATCCTTTGGTCCGGAGAAAACTGATTATATTTTTGCCTTGTCTATAAAGAGTTTATTTCTCTTTTAGGAGTCCTGGCGTTCCAAGACTTCCAGTGTACAATTGTTCAGTTCTGGGCAAATTAGAAACATCTCACAATCAATGGCGAGATGTTGGTTTAAAAATAATAAAAGACCAACCCTTCAGTGATGTCCTTTGGTATCCTGCCATGAACACATGCACCAATGAGTTTACCTTCAGAATACACGTATGTATGGAAACAATAATAATAGTCACAAAGATATATTACTAACATTGATGTCTACAGTTCACAATTAAAAAAATATCCAAATTGATAAATAAAATTTTTTGTAATAAAAGAAAGATTCTTAGAATGTTGGAGTTGTATTTTTGAAATACTTTTGGCAAAAAGTAAAGATTAACTTCTAAATCTTTGCCTTTTATTTGATGTATGCCCTTGAAGAACTTACTCATATTTCTCAACATCAAAACCAACTTCTTTAACACACACACATATATATATATATATATATATATATATATATATATATATATTAAGTGAAGTAACAATATCAAAATATAAATTTTGTCCTTATGGTGGTCCTTAATATGGACATTTTTAAATTTCTTTGCTCCCAAGGGTTCAAATGCTTCCAAATTAATGGACAAAAATATCTAAAAATTTTAGCTCTTAATATTAACATTTAGATAGTCCGCAATTGAATTAAAAGTTTAGTATATTTATTATTAACATTAACTATTGCGCCATCTGTGATGGCATTTGTGAATTCAAATATTATGACACTTATAAAACACTTAACCTTTAATTAAATCCATATGGACTCTTTAACGAAATATCTATTCATCATGGCATCAAGATTAATTCTGCATCAAAATATTTATTAAATTGGTGATATTGACTCTCAAATTATCAGCCATCAAAATTACACAAGTCTCATATCACAGATTGCGCAAGAATTTACTTAATAATAAATATACGAAACTTTCAATTGAATTGCGGACTATCTAAACGTTAATATTAAGAGCTAAAACTTTCAGAGAATTTTCTTTCATCAATTTTGAAACCTTTGAGCCTTTGGGAGCAAAAAAATTCGATCGCATTAATATATAAATTAATTTTTTTCCAGTATTTCTTCAAACACGTAATCCCCGGAGCATTGCTGGATTGCGCTTTAAAAATCACAGGACGCAAACCAATGTAAGTTTACAATATATAAACATACATGAATATATACATTAAGGTGGTCCTTAATATGGACATTTTCGAATTTCCTTGCTTCCAAGGGCTCAAATGGTTCCAAATTGATAAAAAACAATTCTCAGAAAGTTTTAGCTCTTAATATTGTCTTTTAGATAGAGCGCAATTCAATCAAAGTTTTGTATGGAAATAGCATGAAAAAAATTTCAAAAATTTTGCAGAGCGTCGAATTTTCAATTAAAAATGACACGAATTTTCACTTTAAATTCATTTGTCGCTAAGTTGTACTTAAAAAATTATTTTTTAATTTTTAAAATTTATTTCATGCTATTTCCATACGAAGTTTGATTGAATTGCGCTCTATCTAAAAGATAATATTGAGAGCGAAAACTTTCAGAGAATTGTTTTTTACCAATTTGGAACCATTCGGGCCCTTGGGAGCAAGGAAATTCGAAAATGTCCATATTAGGGACCACCCCAATATACATATATATATATGATAAAATTGTTTCTTGGGCATCCATCCAGTAATTAAAAAACAGTTTTATTGATAAATGTTTTTATTTAGAGAAACATACGTTTCGGGTCTTCATTTGACCCATCTTCAGTGCATACAAATAAATTTTAACAAATAACACAAAAAACACACAAAATTGCACGAAAAAATAAATATGAAATTAAAAATTGATAAGACGTCGAGTTATGAAATTTTTTTTAAAAAAATTGTAAAATCAAAATAAATAATATATTTTATTATAAAAAAGCTTATTCCAAACGAACATGTTGTCAGTTTGGAGACCGTGTTACGTGTAACACGTATTTTTTCGTGCAATTTTGTGTTTTTTGTGTTATTTTTTAAAATTTATTTGTATGCACTGAAGATGGGTCAAATCAAGACCCGAAACGTATGTTTCTCTAAATAAAACATTTATCAATAAAACTGTTTTTTAATTACTGGATGGATGCCCAAGAAACAATTTTATCATATATATATATGTATATTGGGGTGGTCCCTAATATGGACATTTCGAATTTCCTTGCTCCCAAGGGAAGCAAGTTTCGATTAAACTGTTTTTTAATTATTGGATGGATGCCCAAGAAACAATTTTATCATATTATTTCACCATCTGAAGAAAAACCTCTCGCTTTATATATATATATATATATATATATATATATATATATATATATATATATATATATATATATATATATAAAAACAATATAAAAAAAATATATAATTACAGAAGAAAAAAAAATAAGTAGAACAATGTATATCAAAAGTATATATGAAAAACAAACATAAATAAACATAAATAATTATTTTTTCTTTACAATTTTGTGTTGTTTCTTTGTGTTATTTTTTAAGAAAAAATTTTTAAAATTTATTTGTATGGTGAGTTTCTTTGCATTAGCTTATTTTATGTTTGTTTTTCATATATACTTTTGATATACATTGTTCTACTTATTTTTTTTTTCTGTAATTATATATTTTTTTTATATTGTTTTAATTTGTAACCCTGTTATATTTATTTGTAGCACTGAAGATGGGTCAAATCTAGACCCGAAACGTATGTTTCTCTAAATAAAAACATTTTTCGATAAAACTGTTTTTAATTACTGGATGGATGCCCAAGAAACAATTTTATCATATTATTTCACCATCTGAAGAAAAACCTCTCGCTTTATATATATAAATATATATATATATATATATATATATATATATATATATTACATCCTCAATTTGTAGGTCAATTAACACAATTGAACTTACATATTGTAGGTTCGTTAAATTGTTCAAAAAACTCTTCATCGGTATGATGACCATCGCATACTTTCTGACCAGACCTTGGGACTTCAAAAGTGACAACATGTGGTCATTGACTGATAAACTAAACCCTGAAGACAAGTAATAATAGAATAAAATGATAAATAAAATATAATTGATATAATTTTGTTTTTTTTTAACCGTTTAGAGACAAATTTGCTTATTCCTTTGATGGTTTCTCAATCGATAGTTATATGAGACAAGCTCTAACAGGATCCAAGTTGTATTTGCTGAAGGAACCGATTAATTTTGAAAAGGACATGAAACGACACAAAAGGTACGTAAAATAAATTTATATTATCAACTAGCAAACCCGACGAACTCCGTTTCGCCACCAGATGGTTTCGTGAGAAAGATGAAGAAATTTTTTGTTTGTTTTATATTTGAAAAGGAAAAATTAGATTTTATTACACAACAGTAATTAATTTATTTCGATTACAAAAATGAAGTGTTTTTTAGTTGAACTTCTCTAAGTAAATGAAAGTGAATCCGCAAATTATGCGTTTCATTGAAGTGCTCTTTGGTGAACCACATTTTTTGTTTTCTGGTCTGACATTAACACAAACAAAGCGGATGGTTTTCCAACTCGTGAACAGGCAACGTATAACTGCCCATGTGAAAAACAATGATTTTCTAAATGGCACGATGCCATGTACCACTAATTTTCTTAGCTATAAACCTTGCGGAGCCCGAGACCTTTCCAACGAATGCAAAATTGTCGAAATCGGTTCGTGCGTTCTGGAGTTATATCGTCAGGAAGGAAATCCCGACTTATTTTTATATATATGTAGATAATATAAATATTTATTTATATTTATTTCAGATTGGCTGTGATTTATTATAGTCTTTTGTACACAACGTATGGTGCAATTTTATACTACTTTTTGACCAGCAAGTGGTTCAATGGAGCTGTTAATAATTTTTCAGCAAGAGTATCTTAATTAGATGTATGATATAAGAATATTTTAGCATTAAGAATATATTTATTAGTTAAGTAATATTAAACGCAAAAAAAAACGAAAATTATTTTTCGTTTCAAAGGTTTCTGAACATTTTGGCATACCTTAGAAAAAATGAATGTGTGTGTGCGGATACAAGTTTGATTTGATACAAACAATTTGAATAATTCAAAAAACATTCGTTTCGTAGTGATAAGGAGACGTGCTGATTAGTTGTTGCCAAAGGCAGGTCTACCCGTTTTGGAGGAACGAGGCAAAAAGTACCAAAAACGGTAATTCAGTTTTTGAGACAACGGAGCGTCCAATTTGAGTATTTCGAAAAACATTTTATTTGTATTGACTGGTTAATTTTTGAAAAAGCAGGTCAAGCGGTTTCGGAGATTTAGTAAAAAAAGTAAAATAATGGCAAATTCGAAAAACATTTTGCTTGTCATTAATTTAAAGTTTTTCGAAAATTTGAATTTTTTTTAAATTTTAATTTTTTTTTGAAAACTTTGAATTTGTTTTTAAATTTCCAAAATCACGAAATTTTTTGTCAAAGCATTTTTTGCACGTCTTTTACACACTTCCAAAATAAATTTGAATTTTGAAAAATTTCACAAAATATCAAAATAAAAAAAAAACGATTTCTTCCAAAAATTTGGGAATATTTTAAAATTTCCAAAGAGAATCGAATATTTTCAAAAATTTCCAAATTCTCAAGAAATGAAAAAAAAAGTTTTTTCCACAAATGTCAAAAAATTAATTAAACAATTTTAAAAAAAATCAAAAGACACGTCCAGCCGTTTCGGAGGAATGGAGCGCAAAGGGTATAAAAATGGCGAAGCAGTTTTTGAGAGAACGGATCAACCGATTAGATTAATTCAAAAAACCTTTTGTTTATGTAGACGGTGTGCTAAAAATGCTTTAACAAAAAATATCACAATTTTAAAAATTAAAAAAAAAAAACAAAATTTGTAAAAAAATTAAAGTTTAAAAAAATTCAAATTTTCGAAATTTTTACACATTTTCAAAATAAAGTTGAATTTTGAATAATTTCAAAAAATACCGAAATTAAAAAAATCGATTTTTTACAAAATTTTAGAATATTTTGAAATTTAAAAAAAATAGAATATTTTTAAAAAGTTCTAAATTTCCAAAGAAAACGATTTTTTTCCAAAAATTCAAAACAAAATTAAAAATTCGGAAAAAACGTCAAAATTCTCAAAAAATCAAGTTAAAAAAAATGTACAAATTTCTTATAAACACACACATAAATTTACAGTAAGTTTATATATTAAATAATATATTTCGAATTGAAATAATCATTTATTATTTTTATTCCTCGAGTGTTTAATTACGGTACTGGAAGTTCCAGCAATTTGCCTTAAGACACCACTAGTTTAATTTAATTTCTTATTCATTTATTTATTTATTTATTTATTTAGTAAGAATTTAATTATAAGCAAACTGCAATAAGTAACCTTCAGACTTTTGTATAATTTTTAAAGAAAATCCTATTACGCGATTTTCGTTGTTTCAAGTCTGAAATCCGAATAAGATATTCATTTAATATTATATTAAAATATATTATTTATATTAAAATTATTATCATAGAATGTTATTTACAATAATGCTTTAACATTCAACACTTTCGCAATAAGTCTTTATATAATTGTAATATTAAACCTAATAAAATATTATATACAAAAATATTTATATACTTATGTTTATATCATTAACCAGTTCGAAACCAATCCTGTCCCATTGCTCCAAAAAATGCAGCAGCTCCTGATAAAGCTGTTGAGGGTTTTTGCTGAATGTCTTTTGTATCGGTGGTGGTTGTCGATGGAAAGTTGGAACAACCAGGAAAATCCTGAACCTGAAATAGAATAAGACAGTTGTTATTTGTTAACTTCGAAGGAAGAAAAAAAAATTTGTGAAAATATGTGTTAGATACTAGCATCTGGAGAAAATATGTATCTGACAATTTCAAAGTGCTCAGCAGGACGCACCGTTTGTACAACAACCTTGTAATTTGGATGTAAAATTCTTCAAAGTATCTATTATGAGCACAAATACTGAAATTAATAGGTTTTCTAACAAAATTTTGAATCAAAAAAGATTTTATCTATATGTGTTACAGCCTAGCAATTGTAGAAAGTATGTATGCAACAATTTCAAAAAGCTCTACAGGACGCACCGTTTGTACTACAATCTTGTAATTTAGACATGATATTCTATGAAGTGTCTATTATAATAGACAATACTAAAATTCATAGGTTTTTTAACAAAATTTTGATTTAAAACATATTTTATTTATAGATGCTAGAGACTTGCAATTGAAGAATGTATGTATGCAACAATTTCAAGGAGCTCTACAAGACGCACTGTAATTGGGACATATTATTCTTAAAAGTGTCTACTATGAGTACAAATACTAAAATTGATAGGTTCTCTAACAAAATTTTGAATCCAAAAAGATTTTAACTATGTGCATTAGAGACTAGCATTTGGAGAAAGTGTGTATGCGACAATTTCAAAGAGCTCTACAGGACGCACCGTTTGTGCTACAACCTTGCAATTCAGATATATTATTCTTCAAAGTGTCTGTCATAAGATCAAATACTAAAATTGATAGGTTCTCTAACAAAATTTTGATTTAAAAAAGATTTTATTTATAAATTCAGAGACTTGCAATTGTAGAAAGTATGTATGTGACAATTTCAAAGAGCTCTACAGGACGCACCGTTGGTACTACAACCTTGTAATTTGGACATATTATTCCTCAAAGTGTCTATTATGAGATTAAATATTAAAATTGATAGGTTTGCTAACAAAATTTTGATTTAAAACAGATTTTATCTATAGGTTCTAAAGACTAACAACAAGAAGAAGTAGGTATGCGACAATTTCAAAAAACTCTACAGGACGCACCGTTTGTACTATAACCTTGTAATTCGAGCATATTATTCTTAAAAGTGTCTTTTATAAGATAAAATATTAAAATTATCAGGTTTTCTAACAAAATTTTGAACTAAAACAGATTTTATTTATAGATGCTAGAGACTAGCATTTGGAGAAAGTATGTATGCGAGAGTTTCAAAGAACTCTGCAGGACGCACCGTTTGTACTACAACCTTATAATTGGGACATATTATTCTTCAAAGTGTCTATTATAAGATCAAATACTAAAATTATCAGGTTTTCTAACAATATTTTGAATCAAAAAAGATTTTATCTATAGGTGTCAGAGACTAGCAATTGTAGAAAATTTGTATGTGATAAATTCAAAGAGCTCTACAGGACGCACCGTTTGTAACACAACCTTGTAATTTAGACACAATATTCCTTAAAGTATCTATTATGAGATGAAATACTAGAATTGATAGGTTTTCTAACAATATTTTGAACTAAAACAGATTTTATTTATATATGCTAGAGACTAGCATTTGGAGAATGTACGAGTATGTATGCGACAATTTCAAAGAGCTCTACAGAACGCACCGTTTGTACAACAACATTGTAATTTGGATATAAAATTCTTTAAAGTGTCTATTATGAGCACAAATACTAAAATTAATAGGTTTCCTAACAAAATTTTGAATCAAAAAAGATTTTATCTATATGTGTTAGAGCCTAGCAATTGTAGAAAGTATGTATGCGACAATTTCAAAAAGCTCTACAGGACGCACTGGTTGTACTACAATCTTGTAATTTAGACATGATATTCTATGAAGTGTCTATTATGAGCACAAATATTAAAATTATCAGATTTTCTAACAAAATTTTTTATTAAGGTTTTTATCTATGGGCGTCAGAGACTTGCAATTGAAGAATGTATGTATGCGACAATTTCAAAGAGCTCTACAGGACGCACCGTTTGTACTACAACCTTATAATTTAGACACAATATTCCTCAAAGTGTCTATCATAAGATGAAATACTAAAATTATCAAGTTTTCTAACTAAATATTGAATTAAAAAAGATTTTATCTATAGATGCTAGAGACTTGCAATTGTAGAAAGTATGTATGCAGCAATTTTAAAGAGCTCTACAGGATGTACCGTTTATTGTACAACCTTGTAATTCACATATGTTATTCTTCAAAGTGTCTTTTTCAAGATCAAATACTAAAACTAATAGGTTCTTTAACAAAATTTTGATTTAAACAAAATTTTGTCTATGGGTGTCAGAGACTTGTAATTGTAGAAAGTATGTATGCGATAGTTTCGAGGAGCTCTACAGGACGTACCGTTTGTACTACAACCTTGCCATTCACATATGTCATTCAGAAAAGTGTCTATTTTAATGACCAATAATAATATCGATAGATTTTCTAACAAAATTTTGAACCAAAGAATTTTTTTCTATAAGCGTCAGAGACTAGCAATAGTAGAAAATTTGTATGTGACAATTTCAAAGAGCTCTACAGGACGCACCGTTTGTACTACAACCTTATAATTTAGACACAATATTCCTCAAAGTGTCTATCATAAGATGAAATACTAAAATTATCAGGTTTTCTAACAAAATTTTGAATTAAAAAAATTTTATCTATAGGTGTCAGAGACTAGCAATAGTAGAAAATTTGTAAGCGATAGATTCAAAGATGTCTTCAGGACGCACCGCTTGTACAACAACCTTGTAATTCAGATATTTTATTCTTCAAAGTGTTTATCATGAGATCAAATACTAAAATTAATATGTTATCTACAAAATTTTGAATCAAAAAAGATTTTATCTATGTGTGCTAGAGGCTTGCAATTGAAGAAAAAATGTATGTGATAATTTCAAAGAGCTCTACAGGACGCACCGTTTGTACTACAACTTTGTAATTCGGACATAATATTCTTCAAAGTGTCTATTTTAAAGACCAATAATAATATCGATAGATTTTCTAACAAAATTTTGAACCAAAAAATTTTTTTCTATAAGCGTCAGAGACTAGCAATAGTAGAAAATTTGTATGTGACAATTTCAAAGAGCTCTACAGGACGCACCGTTTGTACTACAACCTTATAATTTAGACACAATATTCCTCAAAGTGTCTATCATAAGATGAAATACTAAAATTATCAGGTTTTCTAACAAAATTTTGAAAAAAAAAATTTTATCTATAGGTGTCAGAGACTAGCAATAGTAGAAAATTGTAAGCGATAGATTCAAAGATGTCTTCAGGACGCACCGCTGTGTACAACAACCTTGTAATTCAGATATTTTATTCTTCAAAGTGTTTATCATGAGATCAAATACTAAAATTAATATGTTATCTACAAAATTTTGAATCAAAAAAGATTTTATCTATGTGTGCTAGAGGCTTGCAATTGAAGAAAAAATGTATGTGATAATTTCAAAGAGCTCTACAGGACGCACCGTTTGTACTACAACTTTGTAATTCGGACATAATATTCTTCAAAGTGTCTATTTTAAAGACCAATAATAATATCGATAGATTTTCTAACAAAATTTTGAACCAAAAAAGATTTTTTTTATAAGCGTCAGAGACTAGCAATTGAAGAAAATATGTATGCGACAATTTCAAAGAGCTCTATAGGACGCACCGTTTGTACTACAACCTTATAATTTAGACACAATATTCCTCAAAGTGTCTATCATAAGATGAAATACTAAAATTATCAGGTTTTCTAACAAAATTTTAAACTAAAACAGATTTTATTTATAGATGCTAGAGACTGACATTTGGAGAAAGTATGTATGCAACAATTTCAAAGAACTCTACAGGACGCACCTTTTGTGCTACAACCTTGTAATTCCGACATATTGTTTTTCGAAGTGTCTATTATGAGATCAAATACTAAAATTGAAAGGTTTTCTAACAAAATTTTGAACTAAAACAGATTTTATCTATAGGTGCTAGAAACTAGCAGCTGGAGATTGTATGTATGCAAAAATTTCAAAGAGCTTTACAGGACGCACCGTTTGTACTACAACCTTGTAATTCGGACATATTATTCTTCAAAGTGTCTATTATAAGATCAAATACTAAAATTGATAGGTTCTTTAACAAAATTTTGATCTAAAAAAGATTTTGTCTATATGTACAAGAGACTAGCAATTAGACAAAGTATGTATGTGACAATTTCAAAGAGCTCTACAGGACGTACCGTTCAAACTAAAACAATATTACTCAAATATATTACTCTTCCAATTGTCTAATATAACAACAAATACTAAAATAGATAGGTTTTCTAACAAACTTTTGAATTACTGAAGATTATATCTAATTGAATCTATTACAATTTCTCTACTAACTTCAACTTTCTGCTGAACATAACTCTTCTCCACAATTCTATTCCCGGTACTGGTAACCGGTAAAAGGGTAAACCAGTACGAAGACTGTGTATTATCCCTCTGAGTGGTCACAAGTGGTAAAATACAAGCCACTTCTTGTTTTGTCGACTGGTTAGCCACATTTGGAGTAGATGATAATAAAGCATTGAGCTGCTCCGGATTGCCTACCAGGCAACCAAATTGAACCTGGGTAAAAGAAACAAATAGTAAATTATAGATAAATAGTGAATAGTAGGGAATGCAATACCGATGAAAAATTTCAATACCAGTATTTCGGTAATTTTTCATATTAAAACCGGAATACCGGTAAATTACCGGTATTTTTATTATCTTAAACAAACGTAAACAAAATTGAAAGTTGCTAGTACAAACATAAAAAAATGTATACAACTACAACTATATTTAACTATACAATAAAAACAATAAAATAAAACAATAAATAAAGTAAATAAGTATATTGAGTACTTTTCACCAAAAACAAACTTATGAGTAAGAAAGACAAAAAACTCATTAAAGATCATATTACATTAGTATAATAAACTGTATTGTCTGTATCCGATGTGTTAAATTAGCATAATCTCCAATATTTTAAAAAATAATTTTCTACGCTAATTTAAGATCGGATACTTTGTCGAGATAAATAATAAGTTACTATAATTGTTGAGTATTGTTATTTAAAACAATGTGATGCTTCTATAGTATTTTCAAACTTCGAAACGTTGTCGAAAAATAATATTTTATAATTGTAATAAGAAGCAAAAGTATTTAGTAATTATCATAACTATTATGTATAAAGTTAGAAAAAAATAAAGATTACGCATGTATGATATAAATTATTTTGGCGCAAATATCACTTAAAAAACTGTTACACTTTTACAAAAGATGAAACAAACATCATTACCTATCAGTCCAATTCTATTTATTGTAACGCGATATGAAGCCCTTAGTAAAGCAATAAATATTCAGTTTAATGACGAGTTGAGATAATATTTGACATTTGTTTATCCTATAGAATCACTTGAAGATATAGCTGTTTATGCGATTATGGAATTTAAAGATAAATTTGTTCCGAGAAATTTAAACTTTAGTGTATTATGTATCAAATAGCGCTTATGTAAAATTACCGAAAATATCGGTATTTTTTGCGTAAATACCGGTAAAAATATCGCCGAAAAATCGGGCGGTTTACCGGTAATTCGGTATACCGGTATTGCATTCCCTAGTGAATAGGGACCTGTTATTACCTGTGTTTTTTGCACAGCCCGTTTGATATTTCTTTGCAAATGGGGATAAAAAACATCGAAATCAAAAGGATCAATCAGTTTCTTTAAACCATCTCCCACGTTTTGAAAACCAGGGACGTCTCTAGCACTTCCAGAAGTCAAGGTTTGCAGATATCTGACGTCGAAATAAAACTGCACAGCAGCCACTTGGTTAGATTTCAAATAACCAGTATCGTCTGACGCATACACTTCGTAATTTTTAAGAATTTTGTGTGCCAAAGTTTTGATCAAATTCTTTCTGACCGAATTGGGCATCAAGTGTGGACCGACTTGTGCTATTTTGGCATTCGCAGAACAAAGTATGTTTTGTAAAGGAAACGAAGTGTGTGTTGGTATACGGATGTTCGATTCGATCATTTTGTCCTCATCATCCTTTTCCTGGATCGTCACAGTCTCCCATTGCTAAAAAATAATAGACATAGGATAATAGATACAAGATTTATGGATCGATTCTGCCGCACGACAGACCAATGTTATGGCAAGGCCATGTTACGCTCCAACTTGCATACATTATGCTACTGAATCGTACTGAATACTGTCAAAATGTCATGTATTTGTTGTGCATTCAGGCGTTTTACACATAAACTGCAACGTCACTCGTATGTTATGAAGCTGAGTCAGAAAGACCCTGTTATCTAACATCATTTTTTAACTTCCCGAAGGAGAAGTTTATGTTTTCATCAAAAAATCCAATTCGCTAATTTTATGTTTTCTCGACGTTTCAAGCCATTCTGAATCGAATGAGACCAAATTTGGAAAAAGTATGTGTGTGTGTGTGTGTGAACAGATTTTTTTGCCGTAAATCGACGTTTTCTCGAAAACGGTTGGGCCGATTTAAAAAATTTAAAAGCCATTCGATGTATCACGACGAGGACTATCGTTTGTCAGTTTTGTGGAACGATCGGCCGAAACGTTTCTTTATAAATAGCAGAAAAGTGAAAAATTTTTCGTCTACGTTTTAGCCCGCAATTCTGAACCGATTATGAAAATTCAAAAACCGTTCGAAAGATATTGATTGGGAATCGTGCTGATTAGTTTTTGGTAAAGATCGGCCGGGCCGTTTTCTTGTAATAAAGTTGAAAAAAAAAATCGACGGTTTTTATGATTTTTTTTTTTTGAAGTAGATACCATAGTTTTCTAGATCATACTAAAATATTACTGCCCTACGACAACTCGTTTAGCTTTAAAAATTCGTCAAAGTTTGCAAAAATTATTATCGTTTTTTTGGCATTTGTCAAAATTAAGACCTTTCATCGACGTTTGCTCAAAAACGCCTGAACCGATTTCAGAAATTTAAAAGCCATTTGATGTATTTCGATGAGCACTATCGTTTGTCAATTTTGTGCGACGATGTGCCAAGCCGTTTCTTTGTAATTTGAAAAAAAGTGTTAAACTTTTCGTCCACATTTAAGCTCATCCTACCAAACCGATTTTAAAAAGTCAAAAACTGTTCGGAAGATATTAGTTGGGAATGATACTGATTAGTTTTAGGCGAAAGTCTACCGAGCCGTTTTTTTGTAATTAACTGTTGAAAAAAAAATTTAAGCCGATTTTCATGGAACTTTTTTTTGGCGATATACATCATGGTCTTATAGAACTTACTGTAATATTACGGCATTACGACAAGTAGTTTAATTTTAAAAATTCGTCAAACTTTACTAAAATTATTATCGTTTTTTAAAGTAGGATTGATGAAGTATATTATTTACACTTTTTTTTGATTAAGTCAATTATTTACACATATCGGGAAGTTCATGTAACTTGCCTCAAGGCTAAATACCAAACCAACTAGTTATTTTTTTGACGGTAGATACTATAGTCTTCTAGATCATACTAAAATATTACGGCCCTACGACAATTAGTTTAACTTTTAAAATTCGTCAAAGTTTGCAAAAATTAGTATCGTTTTTTTGGCATTTGTCAAAATTAAGACCTTTCATCGACGTTTTCTCAAAAACGCCTGAACCGATTTCAGAAATTTAAAAGCCATTTGATGTATTTCGATGAGCACTATCGTTTGTCAGTTTTGTGCGACGATCTGCCAAGCCGTTTCTTTGTAATTTGAAAAAAGTGTTAAACTTTTCGTCCACATTTAAGCTCATCCTACCAAACCGATTTTAAAAAATCAAAAACTGTTCGAAAGATATTAGATGGGAATAATACTGATTAGTTTTAGGTGAAAATCTACCGAGCCGTTTTCTTGTAATTAACTGTTGAAAAAAAAATTTAAGCCGATTTTTATGGAATTTTTTTAGCGATATATATCATAGTCTTCTAGAACTTACTGTAATATCACGGCCTTACAACAAGCAGTTCAATTTTAAAAAATCGTCAAAGTTTGAGAAAATGAGTAGTTTTCTTTGACGTTTGTTAAAATTAAAATTAGACGATTTTACTTAGTATAACAATATAGTACTTGGTCTTAATAAACATACGTACTAAACCGTTAAAATCCTACGGAAACTGGTTCAAATACAAAAATTGTTGAATTTTGAAAATTTGCTTTTAGAAAATACTCCGCGTTAACGTGTTAGTTCGTTTTCAATTACGTGTAATAAATCCACTGGGAATACTTTTAATCACTCATAAATTAATTTGTTTATTATTGATTAAGTCGATTATTCACACATAACGGGAAGTTCATATAACTTGCCTCAAGGCTAAATACCAATACCAACTAGTTTAAATTTGTGCGGTGTCTAGGTCAGGTTTTCTATCTACCTGGGAAATAAGCCTGACTCCACAGCAACCACATGGCATTTGTCAATATTTAGTATGGAAAGTTCTTCACAACATGGCCTTGCCATAACATTGGTCTGTTATTCGGGAGAATCAGTCCCTTACTTTACATCATTCTATTATCTTACTGATAATATTTTCAGCATGACGCGCGCACTCAACTCCTTCGGCATGTTTTTATCCAAAGTGTTTTCTATAAAGTCGTTTACTGAATCCAGCCAGCATTGCCACAGTTTTACATCCAATGAGGTTATTTCATTGAATACGTGATTTGAAGGAGTTTCTTCAGGTTTATGAATAGATTCGCTCTCGGTGTGTTTGTGAAAACATTGGGAAAGATTTGGACATAAGTGCATCACTGAGTTTAGGTATCGAGATAGTGTTAGGCATGATTTTTCTTCCAGGTATTGTTTTTCTATGTGATCTAACAGACTGAAAGGGAAAATGTGAAATATTGTGAAATTAGATTTATTGTAATATATATATATATATATATATATATATATACATATATATATATACTAGCTGACCCGGCAAACGTTGTTTTGCTAAGTAAGGTATATTCTAAACAATTTCTAGAGAATCAAAAATATTAATACTTTAAGTGTATAAGGATGTGCTAAGGATGAATGCTATATACAATGAGGTATTATAAAAACAGTAAACCCCATTAGTTTGTCTATATATTGTCTGGAAGTTTTATACACTTTTTATAGAAAACATGGTATAATCCAATCCAAGTCTTTTTTGGTCTTTTGACTTTTTTATTACGTTTCAAGTTTTTCTGATTATTTTTGGATTCTGGATTTTGTGTATAATTGTAAATAATACTACTAAGTTTATCAAAAAAAATTCAAATTGTGAGGAGAGATAGAAAATGAATTAAGTATTTCTTCTTTGACCTGGTTTTTAAAAAGTTTCGAGTAACATTCGATGAATTAAAGTAAATTTAATAAAAAGTATATATGTAGAGAAGGGCGAGGCACAAAGGTCCAATTTGACATTGAGCAAATATTAATCATATTATAATAATCAAACCAATTATGTCAAAACAAATAACACATTCAAAACAAACAATTATCTGACTACGTTCAGTAAAACTGCCAGCTACTTCATCATTGTAGAAATGTGCTTTTTTGATGTCTTGCAAAATTTGTTATATAG